CCTGAATCCTACCCTAAACCCTAAACCCTAAACCCTAAACCCTAGACCCTAAACCCTAAACCCTAAACCCTAAACCCTAAACCCTAAACCCTAAACCCTAAAGCCCTTAGGGTTTCACTAAAAAAACCCTAAACCCTATAGACCCCTAAAAAAAACTTCAACGCCCCTGGGAGTCGAGCCCCCTCAAGCCCCAGCCCGCCCAGCCAAAGACTCCAACAACCCCTAAACCGTTAGTTTAGGGTTTAGGGGCTTTGGGGTTTAGGTTTAGGGTTTAGGGTTTAGGGTTTAGGGTTTAGGGTTTAGGGTTTAGGGGCTTTGGGGTTTGGGTTTAGGGGTTAGGGGCTTAGGGGCTTGGGGGTTTGGGGTTTGGGTTTAGGGCTTAGGGGTTAAAGTCTAGGGGTTTGGGTTTAGGGGTTTGGGTTTACGGTTTTGGGGATGGGGGTCAGGGGTTTACGGGTGGGGTTTCGGGTTCAGGTTTAAGATTTCCCTGCAGCCGAAAAGACCTAAATTCTGAGTATTCTTTACTATGGTTTCTATAGTTCCTTAAACCCTAAACCCTAAACCCTAAACCCTTATCCCTAAAACTTAAACCCTAAACCCTTATCCCGAAACCCTAAACCCTAAACCCCTAGCGATGACGTTTTGGAGTCTTGGGGCTCTGGGGGGTTTGGGGAAAAGGGGCATCGGTGCTGCTACGGGGATTCTCGACTCTCGTGATGCTCGGGTGCTGAGAAGAAATGTAGGGTTCAGGGTTTAGGGTTCAGGGTGTAGGGTCTAGAGCTCAGGGTTTAGGGTTAAGGGTTTAGGGCTGTAGGTTTTGGGATTAGGGATGAGGGTTTCGGGTTAGGCAACATCTCACAGTCTAAGACTGCACAGTCTCTTCAGCATCAGACTCTGATGGGTTTGGCAACCTTAGCACCTACACCCTGGAATCTTAGATTCCCTAACATAGAAGCCTAAATAATTACCAATACTATTTTTGGGGATCTTTATTAGAATTATAGTATAATGGGCCCCAAAACCCTCTTCTGATTATTAAGGCCCCTTTGTAACACCCAAAACGTTAAGCACCTCTACTTCAAGATAGACTCCAACCCACCTTCCTTAAACCCCCACTCCGAGGCTCCACAATTCGCTATTTACCGCTTAATCGTGGGATTTTGCCCCTGGACCGTGCGAGCCCGAAGCCCTGTAGCAATCTCGATACTTGCCTGAGACATCAAATCACCAAGCCGAATCTGTATTCCAACATCCTCCCCTAAACCCTAAACCCTAAACCCTGAACCCTAAACCCTGAACCCTGAACCCTGAACCCTAAACCCCTAAACCCTCAACCCGAAAGTGAGGATGTGATCATTCCGGAGGTCTTTCCCGAGCGGCTAAGCTGATCTTGTCCCTAAACCCTTAACCCTAAACCCTAAACCCTAAACCCTAAACCCTAAACCCTGAGCCCTAAACCCTAAACCCTAAACCCTGAGCCCTCAACCCTAAACCCTAAACCTGTTGGCTTCCCTGGAACTGCGGTCTTTGGGGACTTTCGGGCTTTGGGCTGCGGCGCAGAGGGTGTCTACAAGTTTACGGCTTAGGGTTTAGGGTTTAGGGTTTACTTCTTAGGGTTTAGGGTTTAGCCCTAAACCCTAAACCCTAAACCCTAAACCCTAAAGGGTTAAAGGTTTAGGGTTTAGGGTTTTAGGGTTTAGGGCTTAGGGGGTTTCGGGCAAGGCAGATCCCTTTTGCATGTTCCCTCTATCAGAAGAAGGATTTTGCTAGGAATCCTTCTGTTGTTCTTAAAGAAAGGTTTTTGTTTAATCAGGGCCTTAGATTAGTAACCCTAAACCCTAAACCTTAAACCCTAGTGACTTCTCAGGAGGGTGGCAGAAGGCCATCTAACGATTTGTAAGTGTATCCTTCAAGGGTTCCATGAAGGTTAAGACGTAGGATTCAAGGTTTAAGCTGTAGAGTCGCAAGTTTTGGGGTTTAGGGCTTTTAGCGTTTAGGGCTTTAGGGTTTAGGGGTTTTTGGGTTTAGGGCCTTTAGCTTTTTACGGGTTTAGGGTTTAGGGGTTCAGGGTTTGGGGGTTTAGGGTTTAGGGTTTAGGGTTCTGCGAGTGTACCACCTCATTGGTGTTGACTTGAGCAGAGTTCTTGATTTCTATGCGCCAAGACAACTGTTTAACGTTACGAATCCCGCAGAAATTCAATAGCTTTTAGTGCGTCGAGATCAGGGTTTCGGGTTACGGCTTATGGTTTAGGGTTTTCGTTTTCCGGTTTAGGGATGGGGTCGAAGAGAATCTAACTTCAGAAGCTGTCGCATCAGAAAGCTCAAAAACGTTCGAAACCAGATTTGAGTCCCCTCCTAAAGATGAAGTCCTCAGCAGTTCATCCTAGGTAGTATTAGGAAGACCCCCTAAAGGGGACCCTTCTTAACCCTTCTTACGGCTCGGCCGGACGGAAATTAGGGCCCGAAGTTCGGGTCCCTCCTGGGGCCTTGGGCCCTCAAAATAATACGGCACCTGTATAAAAAGGACCCGAAAAGGGACCCTAATTTAGAGAACTACCATGAACTACCCAAAGTGTTGCCTACCAGAGCATCAGAAGCATCGACTTCAGTTTAGTGTTGAGGGTTTAGGATCGCCGATACCCTAAACCCTAGACCCAAACTCCTTAATCCCGCACCTTTCAACCAAAGTTGTTGCGAGCGCTCAACCGAAGACGCCACAATCCTGGCACACGGAAAGCCCAATGCCCCCTCAATTAGCTTTCCTTCATTCAAACCTATGGATAGTTCTCTAAATTAGGGTACCTTTTAGGGTACTTTTTATAAGCGTGTCGTATTATCCGAATTTAGAGAGCTAACCATATAGGGCTTTATAAAGGCTTAAGGTATGTTCCATAATAAGGGGTGGCCTCTCTTGGTGCAGCCATGTACCCTGAACCTGAGCGCTATTTAAAATTTCATGGGACTTAGTAACCAGGGTTATAAATACAGTAGCTATACTTAGAACTACTTATATCCCCAATGAGGGTACTTACAGGTGCACTTGTTAAGTCCCATGAACCTCCAAGTAGGCTCTCGAACACCCCGAGGTTTGTCACCAGACGTGCCCTGGGCATGGAGTTGCTTGGCTTGGCTTATAGTAAGGTTCAACAGGAAGTCTTACAAATTATAGGGTGCACCAAAAAGGCTTATAAAAAGTATGTAGGGTTTCGTAGTTTTTGTTGCAGCTTGGGGCGTCCTTTTGGGACAGTAGTAAACAACCCTTATTTCATGCACTCACATCTTCAACCCTACAGCCCTACATCCTAAACCCTTGTTTCATGTATTCAGATCAACAGCATGAAGGGCAAGACGCCAGCACTTCTGCTTCTCTTCTAGTTGGAAGTGTGTCGCCTATTTTGCAGAGCCGCGGGCTCTCCTGAATATGATGCATAATTTTTGCCCTGAGCAGATGAGCGGGATTCTGATATCTACTATTACACGGCGGTTGCTCAGGATTCTTACGGCTGATGGACAAAATCCTGCATGACCTTAAGGACCCTAAACTATGGGAACTATGGTATATTCCTTATAGTGGGTAATGCAGGATTTTGTCCATCAGCCGTAGTTTGTGGCCGTTCCTGCAAGTGGCATTTTTCGCATGTGCCTTGTCATCTTACCATGGAAAACTTGATCAGCGTGCGTTACCCAGACCTCCGGGAGGATCCAAAAAGTAGATCCCTCAGGGATGGTGCCTATACAGACGCTTTAGTAGTATAGGGTCCCAAATTAGGGGTTCTACTTTCTAGATCCTCCCGGGGGTCTGGGTACATACTTGTAGCAAGTATTGCAAAAGCATAGGCCTTCAACTCCAGGCTCTTTGACTAGCGAACTCCTGCAATATCCCTAAACCCTAAACCCTAAACCCTAAACCCCAAACCCTAAACCTAATCCATAAGAAGGACTATGCCAACACGAGTCCTACGGTTTCGGGTATTTGAGTAACACAGACTTTTCGGTGCATCAAAGGTAGCTTAGGGTTTAGGGTTTAGGGTCCTTCGGTGGTCCGCGTGATTCGGCATGAGGATTAGCTGGTTGTTGAAGGGTTTTGTATCAGCATGGTCCAGAGCTCAATCGTAGTCAGAGACATGATCTAAGGAATGTTCCTTCGCGTTTAGAAGGTTTCTTCGTTATGGATGCTGAGCCCCTGAACCCGAACCCTAAACCCAAACCCTAAACCCCAAACCCAAACCCGAGCTTCGAGAGTGTACAGAGCGTTAACACCTGAACCCTCGTCCCTACACCCTAAATGGGGCTTTCCGAAAGCACGGGACCCTATATCCTAAATAGGAGGATCCTTATGATAAGGACCCCCAAGGAAGGTACCCTGATTGTAGGAAAATCCCAAATTTTTAACCCCGGAAAGCCCAAAGGACCTGATGCTCTATAAACCCGAAAGCCCTCAGCTCCAAGCCAAAACCCCACTTTGTGCAAAAGCGCAAGACGCTAGACCTTTGGTACTTAAAGGTTCACGGGACTTAGTAACTAGGGTTATGAAGAAGGTAACTATACTTATAAGTACTTATAACCCCAATCAGGTACTTGTAACTGTACTTATTAAGTCCCATGGAGCTCCAAGCACCCTTCTAGATCCCTTACAGTCGCCCCTACAAGAAGCTTCTTCTAAGTATGCAGAAGGCCCCTGTACTAGAGGCACCCCCAAACCCCCAAAGACCCTCTGCCAAAGGTTCATCCGCGGGACGAAGATCACGGACTATGCTACCTGGCGTCATCCGAACACCTCAGTGTCTGGTAAAATTGAAGTTTAGGATGCTTTGAGGGATCCTTTAAGGGTTCCGTTAAGGTGAAGAGGCGTAGGATTTAAGGTTTGAGCTTTAGAGTCGCAGGTTTTGGGTTTAGGGCTTTAGGGCTTTAGGGCTTAGGGCTTTAGGGGTTTAGGGTTTAGGGTTTAGGGCTTTAGGGTTTAGCGGTTTAGGGTTTAGGGTTTAGGGGTTAGGGGTTAGGGGTTTAGGGTTTAGGGTTATCTGAATGCCAAAGTGCCTGCGAGCGTACCACTTCATTGGTGTTGACTTGAGCAGAGTTCTTGATTTCTATGCGCCAAGACAACTGTTTAACGTTACGAATCCCGCATTTAGGGTTTAGGGTTCAGGGTTTAGGGTTACCCTACACCCTACACCCTACACCCGAAACCCTAAACCCTAAACCTATAAGGGGATGCTATGGCTAGTTATGCAATCCTCGGGGTCTGCCGAGGCGCTGGCAGAGGCCTCCGTCGCCCAGCGGCAGGACAGCTACAGATAGCTCATGGGGAAAATCCTGCATTAAATTACTGTAGGGGGCTGAAACAATAACAATACTGTTTCGGGGCTCTTCACTATAAGTTCAATACAAATTCATCCAAACCCTGTTCTAATTATTATTCAGGCCCCTATAACAACAATACGTACCCAGGAGCATGAGAAGTAGGTTGTATCCCTGTCATTTGCGCGTCGTGTTCAGGATGCGGTCTGAGGCTGTTGGGTGGAGGTTTAGGGCTTATTAAATATGGGGGTTTCCGAAAATAGGGGGTACCTTATTCTGGGGTCCTTATAATAAGGATCCTACTATTTAGGGTACTATATTAGGGTCCCCTATTTTCGGAAACCCCCATATAGGGGCCTAAATAATGACCAATACTATTTTAGTGATTCCTTATCATACTGTCGATGGACGAATTCTGCATGACCCAATATAGTATAGTACCATAAATCCCATAGTTTAGGTATATAAGGTCATGCAGGATTTTGTCCATCAACCGTAGTTATACCTCAAAAACCCTGTTCTAATTATTAAGGCCCCGAAACCGTAAACCCTTATAGTATCCCTTATGGAACCCTTCAAGGAACCCTTAAAAGGAACCCCAAACCCTATTCTAACTATGAGGCGCCGACATTACAGATGAAATGCTTGGGGGTCGAAGGTCCACAAGCTCCTGTCTGAGTTTTGTGGTGCTGTCCACTGTGGGGAAGCTGTACAGCGGTACGGTTGATGGTATAAATCCTGCATTACCCATAACGAGGAACATACCATAATACCCATAGTTTAAGGTCCTCAAGGTAATGCAGGATTTATATCATCAACAGTATCTCTGAGTTTCATAGGTTTAGGTTTCAGAGTTCGCGGTTTTCGTGTTGAAAGGTTAGGTGGGTTCTTCGAGGTTTTAGGGGATTGTTCCGCTGGTTCCTCTACAGGGTCCCAGATGCAGATGTTTCTTCAATAGCTGCGCAAAACTGTCGTAAAGCCTTGACGAGATAAGTCAACTCGGCGACGAAAGATACCCTAGTAGCATAAGGTGAAGGCACGGTTTTTGTCTAAGGGTGCCCGTTTTGAGAATTCCTGCAGGCCGGTAACTCCTGAACGGCCTGTGGCCAGGGTTTAGGTTTCGGATGTAGGGTTAGGGTTTAGGGTTTAGGGTTTAAGGTTCAGGGTTTAGGGTTCAGGGACCCATCACCTTGGCCGGCAGGACATCATGACAAAGCTCATTGACTTCTACGGCAGCTTTGCCTGAACTGGTGCTGGCAGCAAGACTTAGAGCCGTCCACGACTCTTAGGGTTTAGGGGGTTTAGGGTTTAGGGTTTAGGGTTTAGGGTTTAGGGGTTTAGGGTTTAGGGTTTAGGGTTTAGGGAAAACCTTAAACCTAAACCCTAAGCCCCATGAACCCCGGTGGCTCTGGCCCCTGAATGCTAAACCCCGAGCTGTGCGACCTTACAAAACCCTAAGCTCTACTAAGTCCTGAACTCTAAACCTTGCGCCCGGCACTTAGTCATGAGGATGGAGGACCTACTGTGTAAGCCTTGAGGGGGAGAGTTGGTTTCGGGTTGTCTGTTGTGGGTCCTTCATTGCCCCTAGTAGGATACTTCTTTCAGGTATCAGGGCTTTGCTCGGTTTTAACAAGTAGCAAAACAAATATTGTTCCGTAGGGTTCATTGTTGTAATTCTAGTATAATATGCCCACTCTGACCCAAAGCCCTACACCCTCAAACACCAAACGCTAGACCCTAACCCCAAAACCCTAAACCCTAAAACCTAAACCCTAAACCCTAAACCCTAAACCCTAAACCCCAAAACCCTAAACCCTAAAACCCTGAAAGCCACGCTGCCCGACACCCGCAACTCAGACGTTGGGGTTTGGGGTTGTGGCTGCTATTTAGGGTGTAGGGTTTAGGGTTTAGGGCTGCTATCGTCCTTGAAGAACTACTGCAGTATACACGCCACGTTACACGCCACAGCAGTCCTGTCTGTTAGGTTTAGGGATTTAGGGTTCAGGGCCCGGGGTTTAGAGGCGAGGGGTTTAGGGTTTGGGGTTTAGGGTTTAGGGCTTAGGGTTTTAGGGTTCAGGGTTCTCTAATCCCGATTTCCCCTTTGTCTCTGAGGCTACACGCTCCACGGCCCGATCTTCAATTGTGACCCACATCCAGGCAACATCCTCGTCGAGAAGGACACAGGCTGCTGACAACGGAACCCGAACGTTTCTTCGAGTGATGACTTCTATTGCTACTCGCATTGTCTCAGAATAACGTATGTATGGGGTTTGAATAGGGGCTTAGGCATGTTGTTTTAGGCTTTTTTGAGGGTGTTTATAAAGGGATGCATGGGGTTGCAGTAGGGTCTCATAGATTTATCATACATACGGGGTATGAGCATTTTGGGTTCAGGGTCCCCTGCCAGGAAGATTCCAGAAACCCTGGTTGTGAGAAGCACTTTGTTTGTGGGGGCTCGTTTTAAGTTTATTGGCAACTGGGAATGCACTTCCCGATGCCTATCATGGCGGCTTTTGGTCCATTCCTCCATCCCTCCATTCTTCCCTCAATTCATCCATCCAACCCTCCATCCATCCATCCATCCATCCATCCATCTATCCATCTTCCGACCTACCTACATACCTGTCTGCCTCTCTGTCTCTATTCTTCCCTCTATGTCTCTGTCTCCCTATCCGTCTATCTGTCTATCCGTCTATCCATCCGTCTATCCGTCCGTCTGTCTGCCTGTCTGTCTGTCTGTCGGTCTGTCTGTCTATTTCTCTCGATCTGTCTATACTATGAATCAAAGAACCCTCACATCCTCAGCCCTCGGCACTAAAGCAAAAGCCCTGAAACAGAAGCCGCTTGAAGCCCTGTCAAGCATCATGAGCCCTAAACCCTAAACCCTAAACCCCTAAACCCTAAACCCCTAAACCCCTAAACCCTGAACCCTAAACCCTAAACCCTAAACCCTTTAAACAACAAAGCCTTCAACCCTAGATTCTAAACCCGGAAACCCCGAGAGACATGGGCCCTTAACCCTGGGACCCTTACATACCTACTATATACCCTATATATATATATACCCTTAAGAGACCCCTAAACCCTAAACCCTAAACCCTAAACCCTAAACCCTAAACCCTAAACCCTAAACCCTAAACCCTAAACCCTAAACCCTAAAAACTAAGGGTCCATATTAGGCGCCCATACTTCTAACCTGAGTCCTCCACACACTGGGAGGCCGACTCTGCGTCCTGGACTGGGGGCAGGCCCGAAGGGTGCCCGGAAGTATAGAAGCTTTAAACTTAGGGTTTAGGGTTTAGGGTTTAGGGTTTAGGGTTTAGGGTTTAGGCTAATATAGGGGCCTGAATAATTAGAATGGGGTTTTGGGGCGGAGCGGACTGAACGTCTGGGCGAGCAAAGAAAAGCGGAGTGTCTGGGGCCAATTATACCATAATTATAATAAGGAAGCCCCCCAAATAGTAGTGCTAACTATTATTTAGGCCCCGAGATTAAACTCTCAGCCCTAAACCCAAAGGGTGGGGGCGGGATTTGACATGGCTCTATACCCTAAACCCTAAACCCTAAACCCTAAACCCTAAACCCTAAACCCTAAACCCTAAACGTTCTTTGGTCTTACAGGGGCTCCTAGGGTCTTTACAAGGGCATACGTTGTTGACCTTAACTCCCAAACAGCCTACCTCTTTCAGGAGCTTTGTAAGGAAATCATAATGCGGAGCCCTAAGAAAGTAGGTTTCCTCCGGTCGTGGTAGGGCTTACCTTCAGGCTTTGATCTCTGTTTCTTTTTCCTGGGTTTTTGCAGGCTACATTTTTTTTACATTTTTGGTCCGAATAAACCCCAGTTCGGGAACCCTAAACCCTAAACCCTGAACCCTAAACCCTAATCCCCAAACCCAACATGTTATGTTTGATATAGCCCCAACAGAAGGCCAGTTTCGAGGTTCAACGGGTAGTTGGATTATCAGCGGACCTGCTGAGTGCATGAAACTTGGAGCTCGGCTACGAGCGTGGCAGCGGAGATCATCATAGAAGCCGACGTGTGCATTGAGTGCATTTTACGTTTAATGTGGAGGCAGCGGGGAATAAGAAATTGAGACGATGGGTGCTATCTACATACTGGTTTCCAAACCCTACACCCTAAACCCTAAACCCCGAAACCCTAAACCCCTAAATCCTAAACCCTAAACCCTAAACCCCTAAACCCTAAACCCTAAACCCGTAAACCCTAAACCCCAAAACCCGAAACCTTAAACGACAGGTCTCAGAGGTTTCGTTGCTTTTGGACCAGGTTTTCTTTAGCTAGAAGGAAGCCTTTTAAGCCAGAGCTTTGTGGCTTTGGGGTTCAGGGTTCAGGGTTAACCTGAAGCCTACTATCTGCAAGCCTGACAACCTAGGACCCCAACCCGAACCCTAAAGGACCCGCCTACCCGGACCTCGGAAGGATCTAGAAAGTAGAACCCCCAATTTGGGACCCTAACTACTAAAGGGTTCTGTATAGGAACACTTTTAAGGGATCTACTTTCTAGATCCTAGGGTGTAGGGTTTAAGGTTTTGGGACTAGACTAAACCCTAAACCCCTAAACTCCTGAACCCTAAACCCCTCAACCCCTAAACCCCTAAGCCCTAAACCCTAAACTCTAAGCCCTGAACCCTAAGCCCTAAGCCCTAAACCCTAAACCCTAAACCCTAAACCCTAAACTCCTAAACCCCAAAACCAAAAACCCCTAAACTCCGTAAGACCTTGCAGGAGCTTCAGCACCCACGCCCTGGAGTTCAACGCAACTACCGTACACCCACAAGCGTGAACCCTAAAATTTTAAGGTTTAGGGTTTAGGGTTTAGGGTTTTTTAAGCTTTTGAAGCCCTGAAAGCCTTAGACCCTAAAAGCCCAAACCCTGCAAAGCTCTCACACGTGAAGGCCAAGCCCAAAACCCAAAACCCTAAAACCCGAAACCCCTAAACCCTAAACCCTAAAATCCTAAGCCCTAAACCCCTAAACCCTAACCCCCCAAACCCTAAACCCAATAACCCTAAACTCCTAACCCTAAACCCTAAACCCAATAACCCTAAACCCCTAAACCCTAAACCCTAAAGAAGCGCTGTAAGCCTCCTTACAAACCGACTCTTAGAGTCACTTGGGTAGTTCTCTAAATTAGGGTCCCTTTCAGGGTCCTTTTGATAAGGGTGCCGCACTAACCCTAAACCCTAAACCCTAATCCCTAAACCCTAAAAATGGACCCTAATTTAGAGAGATCTACCCACTTCGTTCCTGGTTTCGTCAGAGGTGCGGCACCTGGCACAGCACGAGCGCATCTCGGACTGACGACCTCGCAAGGGTTTCTTCAGGTTTAGGGTTTTTGGTTTAGGGCTTTGGGTTTAGGGTTTAGGCTTTAGGCTTTAGGGTTTAGGGTTTAGGGTTTAGGATACCCTAATACTGTAGTGAGTTTCGGGTGGAGGGCTCAGTATCGGAGCCTTAATGGCCATCGAGCTGCTGCGGCTGAGAGTTCAGAGGGTTTCGGGTTCAGGGCTGAATACAGGGACCTGACTGTTGATTGTAAGGAGCCTTTGTAGGATTTTTAGGTGTGTGAAGGATTTAGGGTTTAGGGTGTAGGGTGTAGGGTTTAGGGTTTAGGGTTTGGGGTTTGTGATAGTTTATCTTAAGCGTAACAAGGCTTTCTGGGATTTTACAGGGCTCTACACCTACTTTTTGCAGGGTTCTTGGGTTCTGCAGAGTCCCAGAACAGGGTGTTATAGGGCTTCACTTGGTTTGACAAGGGTCCACTTGGAGGGTCGCGGGACTTAGTAAGTAGGTCGTAGGGAGACTTTTTTAAGAACCCTAAACCCTAAACCCTAAACCCTAAATCCTAAACCCTAAACCCTAAACCCTAAACCCTAAACCCTAAACCTTAGACAGTCTCTAAAATAACTACTGACTCAGTCCCCCGGCCTTCCTTTATAGATCCCTTTAAGGATCCCTTTAAGGGAGCCTTCTTTCTAAGTCCCCCCGACATTCTCCACGAGATTTCAGAGGGCTGGGCTTCAAGGGCTTTGGGTTAGGCTTTAGGGTTTAGGGTTGAGGGTTTAGGGTTCAGGGTCTAGGGTTTAGGGTTCAGGGTTTTGGGTATAGGGCTAGCTAGTTGGGGGTGTGGGGTGGCTTCTTTTCTTGTTAGCTGAGGCTTTTTGTAAAGCCTTCTTCTGCAAGTTTGCGCGGCGTTCTTTTCGGTAGAAGCTCACTGGTACTGCAGAGTTTGACAGGGCTCGTGGGGTTGTTCAGGGCGTCGGTTCTTTTCCTACATGTAACCATAGGGGCCTAGATAATTCCCTGTATGATTTTGGGGGTTCCTTATTATATTTATGGTATAATGGACCCCCCCAAACCCTATTCCAATTATTAAAGTCCTTGAAGTAAGTTTGGGAGGGTTGCCTGAATGCGAGGTTGTTTTGGTTTTGTCCGGCTTTATGAAGGTCTGTTTGCTTGCTTCCTTCTATGGCCAAACTGGAGCTTCCTCCCCGAACCCTAAACCCTAAACCCTAAACCCTAAACCCTAAACCCTAAACCCTAAACCCTAAACCCTAAACCCTAAACCCTAAACCCTAAACCCTGGGGCGTTTTAATGGCTAGTTTGGGCGTTCAGGTTTGGCGTTCGGGGGGTAGGCTCCGGGTTCCCACCAACTCCACAACCACCGCCGCCACCGACCCTCAACACGGTTTGGGGTTTAGGGCATTGGAGTTAGGGCTCTAGGGTTTGGGGTTTAGGGCATTGGGGTTAGGGCTCTAGGGTTTGGGGTTTAGGGCATTGGGGTTAAGGGGGGCTCTAGGGTTTAGGGTTTAGGGTTTAGGGTTTAGGGCTTCGGGGTTTGGGCAGCAGTGTTGCGAAGAGAGAGCATCAAGCGCTGCTTCCTCTGCAAGCTGTTGAGTCCATCTGCGGTCGAGCCCTGCAAGCCGTAGCGATGCCGCGGACCGAAAGCGACGAGGAAGAAGAAGCATCACTGTGGGTACGGATTTGACGTCGAGCTGCCCCGCTACATCTTCGATTCTGCATCCGTGGACGGATTTTGGGAGCAAGGGGAATATGGCCGATGGAATGGCTATGCGTCTTATGATGCGGGGACATCCGATGTCTCCAAGGTACTAGACTAGACTGATGTCAAGACTGGGCTTTATGATCTTGTCCGGCCTGAACCCTAAACCCTAAACCCTGGACGTTTATGTGGAGGTCGGATTTCTGAGAAATGAGGGTTAAACGATGACACCACGCAAGGTTTAAGTAAGGAATGTCCAAGTTTATATGACTATGCTACGCTATAATAATATGCCGTGCCCCTAAACCCTAAACCCTAACCCTAAACAGAACCTGATCGAACTGCTAAGGCCAGTGCATCAGGATGCTTGTTCAATTCTGCGATGATGCACCTAAACCCCTAAACCCTGAACCCTACACCCAAGTTTGTTTGAACTTGCAAAACCCTAAACCCCTACATGGGCTTGGGGCTCAGGGCTTTCCAGAAAGGTCCGAAAGTTCAAAGCTTTAGGGTTTAAGGGCGTCGGGTTTGGGATTTAGGGCTCTGAGCATGTCCCAACTTGGGCTCAAGATAAGATTTTGCAGGTTTTCAATAAATAGGATGTTGATGGGATGTTTAGAGCTCTTTTCTGAGGTTTGGTATAATTTCTAAGAGGGTCGTCTAGGCGCCTGTTGACGAGGGACGTAGAGGGTTTTCTGTTTGATAATTTGCGGCCTAAGTATACGGGTAGTTCTCTAAATTAGGGTCCCTTTTTAGGTCCCCGATAAAGTACGACACCCTTATGAAAAGGACCCTAAAAGGCCTAAAAGGGACCCTAATCTAGAAAAC